AAATAACCTTTACGTCATTACCACAATGTTGGAGATGCGCGTAAAGCCGACTGAAACGTCGCATGCAATCGGCATTTCATGTGCACTTTTTTTATGAGCTGTGATTTTTGCCCACTTGCCCAGGATGTGATGAAATGGGCAGATGATTAAAGGATGATCTCAGATTATCTCGGTTCAGATCTGCCAGGAGACTGAACAAATTTAGTAGTTTACTTTTTAGAACGCAGAAAGCCCCTACACTGCACTATTTGAACTAAACAAAACCACAACACACTGGGACTTGAAGATACAATGGTAAGATGTTTCTGTGAGACGTTTGCTGTCCCTGGCCACAGCCTGACACCTGGCGATTCACACAGCTGAACACCAGGAAGTCTCTATTAACTGCCTGTCCTTGTCGTTGCAGTGTTTTGGAGCAGCAAAACCTCAAAAACAACAGGTTCTTGGAATAATCTCTCTTGTTTAGACCTCTCCATGTGAAAAAAAAAAAAAAGGCCTATTGGGACCCGCCATATTGAACCCCACCTCACCACAGGAATCTAAAACCCTATCTGTATTTTGGGGTGTTGTTCAGGTGGTGAAGACTCGGTGTCACCGCTTTACCTCGACACCCCACCCCTTACCGAGCGCGCGTCTTCCCTTTTTTTGCCTCAGTGCTGCTGCCTGTGTTTTGAACTTATCTCAGTGTGGAACTGGCAGGTTCAGGGGTGTGATTGAGGTTTGAAATAGAATATGTGTTTGTCTCCAGTGCCTGCAGATGTCTTCACTTAGGAAGGTAAACATCGCATGGGCTGTTTAACTGTTAGAGGCAACAACCAGCCTCATCCCCAGGGCCCCAGGAGGAAATCAAGCACAAATGACACTGTTTTGTGTTTCACCAGACATCTGTCACCTTGTTCGCCCGCCATACATGCAGGGTACCGCGCGATGCCGCTTTTTTTTTGCAGCGGGGCTCTCGAAGCTGCCGTTATTTCTCCTGCCTGTGCAGGAGTTTTCAACCATAAACAAGAAGACATAAGTGTAATTTCCACAGACCCTTTTTTATTTAAGTGTATGTATAATATGCCAGAAATCTAAAATATTTTGACCCTGTAGATGATTAACACAATCCTTTTTTTCTCCAAAAGCTGTGGAACATGTTTGAAAGTTGTGTATTTTGTCCCAACAGAAAGAAGAAGGAAAGGTCCAAGGCCAGCTGAACCACACAGATTCGAGCCAGTACATCCGCGACCTCAAAGACCAGATAGCAGAGCTACAACATGAGGTGAGACTCCTAAAAACAAGCTACATGTTCACCTCAGTCACACTACCAGTTTTTTGTTGTTGGTGTAAATGCTTTGATCGAAATTTCACAACAATCCCTCAGATATGGTTTTACTTTGACTTGAACAGATTAGTTGAAGTGTTAACTACACCCAGAGACTTCCTGTGTGGTGCTGAAGTTGCGAACCTCTTAGAGATGTATTCACAAACATGACTTACAGAGGTTTATATGGCAGAACATTGAGGCACGATGCAAAGATGGATGCACATTCAAATGACTGATATCTAAGAATGAGTAAAATGTCACATATGACGTCAGAAGTGACACATTCCCCACAGTCTTAGTCACCTTTATTCATTATTATTGGTCCTGTCAAGCTTGTTGACCTATGTCATGTGTTTGAGAAAAGGTGTTTTAAAGAGTGCTGTCTCAGTCGTTTCCCTTCCCTGCCAGTTGTCTTTGAGTTTTAGATTGCCCGACAATGATTCTTATTATTTTAAGCATGCACAATGAGCAAAACTGAAACTGGTTTAAGTCCCGTCATGCACCTCTTGCACAGTTTCAATTAACATCATACAGCTTTAAATTTTATGTGCAGCATCTCAGATGTTGATTAGATCACCGTTTCCTTTCACATGACAGCAACAGGAAGGCAGTGTGCCAAGTTTAGAGAGACCCAGGTAAATGTAGGGTTGTTCGGGTTTTGGGTTGTTGTTATCGTTTTTATGTACTGTGCTCTAAACTGGCCTCTGAATGCATCTCTTTCTACATGACTGTCTGTTGCATGGCAGGCCAACCCAGGTGAGTGTTTTCAGATGTTCTGTGTAACACCCCCAGCTTTTCAAGCCTGACCATGTGTTGATCTTTACCCAACCCCTCTTTGAGTCTGGTTAATTCATGGTGTAGGAGACCATCCCAAGTGCTTCAAGGTAAAGCTAAAGAAAGCGTCCGTGCACGGCTGTAAACTGGAGGTGGGGACGTTAACTGAAAATACACTGTTCAAAATAAAATTTAAAATTAGTGCATATGTAGGCCCTTTTTGAACTTATAGCTGAAAGATAATCGGAGAAAATACAAACCCAATTCCAAAATAGTTGGGACTCTGCAAAGTGTGAATAAAAACAGAATGCAGTGATTTGCAAATCTCAACTGAGACATGAAAATTATTAGCTGATTTTGAATTGGATGTAAGAGAAAAGTTGGGACAGGAGAAACAAAAGAATATCTTGGAACTAATTAGGTTAATTAAGGTCAGTAACGTGAATTAGTATAAAAAGAGCATCTTAGAGTGGCAAGGTTTATAAACTGAGTCTACAAATTCAGCAACAGTTTCAAAATAGCGCATGCTTTTGATTGCTTTAACTAGCTCATCATCTAAAGTACGTAATGTCAGAGAGTCTAGAGAAATCTCTGTGTGCAGAAAAGGCCAAGAACTGGATGCTGTGATCTTTGATCCTCGGACAGCACTTCATTAAAAACAATAAAACGATTATTTTTGCGATTAGTCGACTAATCAGATCATGCATCCAAAGCGTACAGCTTATTGCACCAGAATGCATCTGCTCTTATAACTATCATTAGCTTACAGCTTTAAGTGTTTTAAGGTATGTGCTAACTAAAAATAACGACAAGATGATAGTTTATTAAATTTTAATGACATTTGCAGATTGTTTCGGTGAAGTTTAATAAACTCAGCCGTCTGCTCCTTGCTATCTAAACTGTAACGGGACACTGGAGTTTATTCTCGAGTATCTCACACTTCTGATAATCAGCTGTCTGCTTGACGTTTATTCAGCTGTGTAAAAAGTATAACTTTAATCTCAGCCAAACCGATTTACTCAGGAACAAATAAAATACTAAAAAAAATTTTAAGTTATCTAAGTGATTTATATATCACGTTTAACCTGAGTAGTGAAAGATGGTGGTGGGTTTGAAAACGATTTGCCGGGAGTCCGGCGTTCTCACGGGCTCTAGTGAGCCTTGCCCCCGGCTAGCTATCGAGCTGGTGGGTAACAGACGTCTCCGAAAACGTCGGAGCGTTTTTGCAAATATGTGGTGTCTTGATAAACTGAGCAGATATTTGAGGCTTACACAGCTACATTCTCGCCTGAAAATATGTTAAATGTTTATTTTGTGACCCAGAATGAATAATAAGAGTAATATTAAAACTAACTAGCAGCCGGCATTGTTGGCAACTGAGCTGCGCTGCGCTATGAATTCTGGGACACTGCTTCTTCTTCTTCTTTGGGGTTTAACGGCAGCTGGCATCCTTGTACATGCAGTGCTGCCATCTTCTGTTTCAGTCCGTTATTACACTCTTAAATCCTACTACTTATTCCTGCGCTTTTGGGATCTAACAAAACTTCAAACGACGCTTCAACTATTAAATTAGTCGTCGACGATTTTAATAGTCGACGTAATCGTGACTAGTCGACTAATCGTGGCAGCCCTATTTCTAACTAACCTGGATAGCATTAGCTTATAACATCGCTCTCTATCATCTAAATATATTTCTGACTTTTAAAAAAAAGTGCAGCAATGCAAGTCTAAAAAATTAATGGATGAACGCCAGATTGGCTATAGACATCTTTTATATACAGTCAACGCAAAAAGTTCCTTACCAGGTCTTTTTGTTTTCCGAGAGAAAACAAATCCTCCAGTCTCAGACACTTTGCCTTGAAGCTCTGGAAGCACCTTAAACTGTTAACGTGGTTTAAGGTGCTTCCTGCTACCATGCAGTCTTAAATGGAACATAATTATATGACTCTTTGTCCCAAATCCATACTACACATTGACTTTAAGTGTTGAGATTATAAAGCACATTCGTGCACACATTCAATAAACTCATCAAAGATTGAAGCAAAGACAGCATATAGGCTTTGAATTGGACGGTGACATTTCTAAATCTCTAGATAATTTTATATTGAGATGTGTGAATAAAAGCTTTTACTACAAATTTAAAAGAGACAACTTGTCTTCCTCCGTGTGAGTGCTGTAAAACTATTTATTTCATGTCTACTAATTATACAAACAGGACACTCACCAGTTGTTTACTCTTGGTGTGTAGTATGGCTCTGATTTTATTGCGTTGTTCCCTTTTGTTTTTATTTTTGGTTGAACTGGTGCCTGCATGTTGAATTTGTAGAGGACATCTCATCTTATTTGTTTCAGTGTTTCTGGTAAAATGTCACCAGCTCCCACTGACAGTTTGTTCATATCACGTGTGTCAAGTTTTTGTTATCTCACTGAGTTGCTAGCAGTCACAGGTTGTCCAGGAAGCCGTGCAAGAGTCATATTTCTCTGTTGTTATTCATTTTAAACATTAGCGTCACAGCTTGGCTGCTTTTTTTTTTTTCTGTAGCAGCGCTACTTTGACACTAACAGAAAAAATGTGGCTATAATTATGTTGTGAATTCAGCTGCATTAAAACATATCACTCTGTAGAATCAAAGGGAAAAATGATTCTGTAAACTTTCTGATAAGTCGCACTACTATTAAGTAAAACTGGCCACAGGAAACACATTTGTTGAAATTCAATCCGAAAACTGTCTTAAATTTCTCTTTATTAGTAAACAATGAACAGCGGACAGGACAGGAAGTGCTGAACTAGATATCCGCTCTCTATATTTCCTGCACCTGGCTAAAAGAAGGTTTGACCAAGACTTTCTTCCTCCCTCTTTCCTTCTGAGTACAATAACAGCAACCGAAAAAAATAAATAAATTAGTGAGCTGTCTATACAACTATACCCATTTTAATCATTCACACTTAAACCTGCTTCAGAGACACAAGACAGTGAAGCAAAAATAGAGCTGGTCCACGACGATATTGGAGCAGAGGATCTCAGGGAGGTGATCCAGGCCTTAGCACAGCACCTCAGGTCATATAGCATCTGTAACAAGCAGTTTGAGATTCCTTTAAGCCAGTTTTCTTCTGAGCGTGCTCACACATGCGACAATGTCAGGATGTCCACCGTCTCTGACATCCTGTAGAGCCCCCTGGTCACAAACCAGGTGTGTAGAGTCTGGAGCTTTTGGCTTACTGGGATAACTTGCATGTTTGCTCACCTCATTTTTTGAAACTTTGGCTATATTTAATGTGTGCATCCACCACTGTAACAGTGTATTTATGACAGAAAATAAAGAAAAGCGTAAAATGTTAGCTGTAATATTTTCAAGAGGTTTGGTGTTCATGCAGCTGCCTTCAGGCACAGAAGTCTGGTCTGTAGGAGATTGTGTGGCTCCTGACTCTCACTGTTTGCTTTCACAGATTCGCTGCTTAAAAGGACAGAGGGGGCGCTTGGCCAATCAGCCCACTTTTGATGGGATCCATATTGTCAACCACTACAGGGCGGCTGATGAGTCTTACCAGTCTTCGGACGACGATGGGGTCAAGGTCTCCCCCCTGCAGGTCCCCCAGCAGAGGAGCCGTATCAAACTACACCCCAAACTCGAGGACACCGACAGCGATGAGGAGGAGGAGGACGGAGAGGCCCTGCGGATCTCTGTTCCTCAGAGCAGCAGCCACAAGACCACCTCCGTGTGAGCGGCGCCCGCCGGCTGCTGAAGTGGAGACGGAGGCTGTCAGCACTAACTGTGGAAGAGAGGGTCATCCAGCAAACCATTTCAGAGGAGACTCCTGAACTTGAAGAATGAAATGCATCATCATCATTTGATATCCTGAGAATCACACGTGGATTTAGTTTTCTTTACCTTCCTTTTGCAGTTTTTTTCTTGTTGTTGTTTTGGGGGGGTTTTGTGAGTAAAGCCAGAAGCTCAGCCTGAACCTCAGTAGAGGCTCAAATCACGTGGAGCGTCTCAGACTCTACTGGGCCACAGAGACCTGACAAAGAGGAGGAGAAGGGAGATCTCAGTCTGTCACTCCTGACCGCTTCTTCTAGGTACAACACAGAAAAAGAGACTGTGCAATAAAAACGTTTTACTCTATATTACACACTTCATGTTTTTATATTTTAAAGCTTTTTATAAATGAACATCAGAAATGCATTGATGCCGTTACTACTAAGTGTCCATCATGCAGAGGCAGATTTGTATGAGTGCTGTGCGTGCGCATGTATAAATATCTATATTTCTAATGTCTTGAAGAGCTTCATCAGAGCCTTGTATCAAACTCGCTTGTATCAGCCAGCGACGACTTGATGACTTTCTTTGGCCTTAGCATGTGCCGCATGCCTTTCAAGGTCAAAGTGACATTGCGTACATGTAGATATGTAAATGTGTATCATGTTGTTTGTTTCCCCCCACTTCCTTTTGAACTTGAAAATGCATATCTGGTGTTTAGAATATGCTGTACATTTGAGAGTAAAGGGACATATAATGTAGTTTAACACAAATAACAAATCCTGCTTTTGAGACGAGGGAGGTGAATTCCTGGTAGAATAACTAGTCACCCCTCTTTAGATGCTTTTGAACTCTCCGTTCTTAAAGCAGCCAGCATGTTAATAAGTGCAGATGGGGAAAGGTTTATTTCTTAGCTACTGTTGCTGTTTTACAAAGTTCTCTGAAAGCATCACGATCTCACTTTCATGATGAGGTAAAAGGCGAATCACTTCAGTGCATAATGCATCTACCGATGACTCAAAGCTGAATGATGCCTCTCATATGTTCTGAGTGTCACTAATTTGCACGGAATTGATGACAGTCTGAGAGAACTTTGGTCAGGAGATGAAGCCGAGATAAAGCAACACTCAACAACACAACATGGAAACTAATCGGGACCGGCAAAGTGTTACCAAAGCGAGGCCTATGTTCTGGATCTACAAGCCACTCCATTTCATGACCTGGATGTGTAAAAGTGAATTTCTCTGAATGTCTGAACACTAACTTCTGTATGAATCGAGGCAGCCGCAGTCTCCAGGAACCAGCAAAGATTCTGACTTTGAGCAGGTGATGATGATGTTAATGTCTCTTTGCTGATGGAATAGAAGAGGAACACCTAATGGCACTTTTTTTGAGTCTGCAGTGCAGTATGGACACACTATGATGGATGCAGTCAAGCACACTCTGCAAACTAAATGAGATTGTTTTATATATATATATATATGTATGTGCGTGCGTGTGTGTGTGTGTGTGTGTGTGTGTGTGTGAGAGAGAGAGAGAGAGGGATGAATTCACAATAAAATTGTTTGATAAACTCCTGGCCTGGTCTGTCTTGTAATGGTGGCTGCAAACCTCTAACCAGAGTCTCCTCGTGCAGGCTGAACAGCACATGTGGGATGTTTAGTCTCAGCGCTGCCTTCCTCTGAAGATTCTTAGCTTAGATTGACTGTTTCAGGAAGTGATTTTTCTCGCGGTTTTCAAAGTTGAGCCTCAACTACTAATCATTTCATGCAGAAAACCACATTTTAAAAAGAGCATCTCTCTTCGGGCACTGAAACATTTACCAGGTTTGTGTTTGGTTTTTTGGCTTTTTCCCCCACAAAATGCTGATGATGAGTTTGTGTTGGACAGTGAGGCCAGTCTGTTAGTGATGTAAGCTCAGATTTTTAGAACTTGCGTTGACTAGTAAGGTTGGCGATTATTTTTTTTTAACGTGGCGCAGTGGAAGGTCGCTTATTTCTATAGCGGGTGCCAGATGTTACAGCCACATTAATTCTATTTTAATCATTTCAATTTTAATCTCAAAATTCGGCTTTATTATTAATAATACCCGAGTTTAGCACAACCTAAACAGCAGTACTCCTGCGCAGACACGGGTGTGTGAATACAGCTGCTTTTATGTATTTTGTTGATTTCTTTTTCTTTGATTGACCTTTGCAAATATTCGAGCAGATTTAAACGTGCGTCCTGAAATGTTTACTATAAGGAGAGCGCGATACAGTGGCGCAGTGTGGGAGGCGTGAATCATTTGGTGAGTTCACATGTAGAGGCGTTTTAAAAGCTGAATTTCAACGGAGAGAAGAAAATATTTGAATACTGCAGAAATAATGACGCAGTTAATTAATTGTGCGGTTATAAACAACCGCATATCAAATCAAATCTAGTTTCAAACCGCGAAGTTCTAACAACCTGCGTAAAAGCGGCATCAAATCCCTAAATGTATTTATATTATTAATATCATTAATATTATTATTATTATTATGTGCGTGTATTTAATTGCGATGGCATGATGCTACAGTTAAGAAACCGTCTGCCTATCGGGCAGCAGGCCCTGCTGCAGCTGCTTTTATCGGTTCGAGCTTCATATCTCCTCCAAAAAACTGTATCCGGATGCCGTGATGCGTCTAATCGAGCTGGGACATGTGGTCCTTTAATTTCCTGTCCTTTATTTACTGATAACGGTTTGCATGTAGCCGACATTATAAATGCATTCACTGACATGTTGGTGCCAAAGCCGTGTAAACGGTCTGAAACCTTTTTGGGCGTCCAGTTGTCTGATTTGGAGGAAACTTCACACCTTTACAGGCGTGGAGGATTTGACCGGAGCGGATTTACTAACGGTTACCTGGTGATATATTAAAATAATAAGTAAAGAAACGCAATGAAATGAAAAGTCATCCAAAATGCGCATGTGTGAATTTCGGCTCCGTGGCAATTCAAGCGTCTCAAGCCACGAATAATAAAACTTTAAAGCGCAAACATGGCCTGATAGCCACCTGTATTTACTGCAAACGAATGCAGGTTTTTGATCACACTTTCACTTCAATGCCGTCTCAAAACTGTTTTATTACACCTGCAGTGGATGAAAGGCACCAGGACGCACGACTCCGTCTTATTGATCAGCGCGTAATGACGCTCTAATCTTCGACCTGTGCGAACAGAAAACAAACTGTCTCCGTTATTTGCTTCTTCCTCTCGGGGTAATGTGAAACGGTCACCGCAGGCGTTAGGACGGAGAGTGTCTGTCACATAATAACAGTTTATGGGCTCAAGTGACCACCAGACCGGGACAACACTTTGTCCTGTGTGGAGCCGGCAGTGAGTTTTGATCAGAGAGACACTGCGGTGCGTTTTTATGTGAGGATTTATTCTCAATGAATTATTTTTCCTCTAGCGTTTTATTGGCTGAACTCAACCGGAGACACTCTTGGCAAACCCGAAGCGTTTGGTCAAATTTTAATTGCAGCCTATAAGAATAATAAGACTACCCCGCCGGTTCAAAGTTTCTCCCACCCCTTTATTTTACCACGACGTGCTACTTCAAGCTCCCCAGCAAGGCACCCTGGGGTGTGTCTCCCCGTTTCCTCTCCCCCTGCCCCCTTTAAAGATTGAGAAAGGCGCCGATAAAGCCTGTATCACCTCTCCCGACTGCCACGGGCTCCATGGGAGACACGAGCTGCAGTCTGCGAGAACTTCGGCAGCCCCAAGCTGTGGAAAAGTTAAACACTGCAAAAAGTGTCTCATAGACTTATCGTCCCAAGTTGTACTTTTAAACAATAAATACACTTTTCTCTTCTTCATTCCACCTGCGTTTCTTGTAAGAAAGGAAACCACTGTCGGGTTCTGAAATGAGTCCGTTTGCTCTAAAGATGCAAGACGACGTCGCCCCCGCTGCAGACAGTTTTCCTACAGCCTGCTCTGACTAAAACTCTGCAGGCGGATATTTTTTACAGCGCACTGAGCTGTGGCGAGCAGCCTCGACACCTGTCCGACGACACCTGGCAGGCGTGACCGACAGTCCGCGCATGCTCCCTTGTCAGGTTGAAATCTCTTAAAGCACTTGGGAGCAACATCACCACACCAGTAGATGTCAAATCTTGGAGCGAGCGGCCTCGGGCGCAGGAGGACTGCTCTCTACAGCTGGATTATTGTCACTGATTTGTTCTGTTCCGCTTCAGAGATGCCCCGCTCCTTCTTGGTGAAGAGTAAGAAGGCGCACAGTTATCACCAACCCCGAAGTTTTGAGGATGACTACAACAAGCTGGACACGATACTAGCGCACATATGCTCGGGTATGCAAAAGGAGGCTTTTCTTCAATATTCCCCTCTTTGTCAGATGACACTTTCAATGCTGTATTTGATATTGATATAATCTGACGGGATGAGGGGTATTTTTCAAAAGTAAAATACATTTTTGATCGCAACACTTGCCAATAATTTGTAAGATGAATAATGCTTTAAAAGAAAAGCACTTTACAGTTAAGAGTCATTGTGGTGTTTTGTATTCAATTCTGAAACTGTTCTTTTGGTTAAATGCATGTATTTAAATATCTCGGGTTATTCACAGTTTTATTACATATTACAACACTATTTTTATTGTTATACCATATCATATATTAACACTATTACCACAAGAAAAATTGACGTTATCTCTGACTAATTTTGTCCACCAAAAATCCAGTTTTGTTTTGACAAATTACCGAACTGGCGACCATCCACGTCATTTATCAGCCCTTTAAAAACAACATAAGAATGGCTTTAATTGAGTCACCGGTCATTACGATGCTGACTGTCATTTGTTTTGTGCTTCTCAGAGGGAGATAAACTCCCAGAAGAAGACACGGATATGTCGGTGGACAGGTACAACCTGTCTCCGGACTCCCACCTGGGTGACGCAGCAGATTTCTCCCCCAAGTCTCCGCTGAGCTGTGCCGACAGCCTGTGCCCTCGCTCCCCGGACTATGAGGACTTCTGGAGGCCTCCATCTCCCTCCGCCTCGCCAGGTAGACAAAGACACACACATACATACACACATACTGATGATCCTGCAATAGATTACATTTCATGTACACATGAAAGAGCCAGAGCGGAAACTGCGTCCAGGACGCACAGATCCAATGCAGACTTTGATTTGTATTTTTTCCACCATGGTTTAGAAAACATACAATACAATGTTCGTTTCGGCAAACTAAATAAGCAAAACAGGCCTTTGTGATAGTTTACATATTTTGCTGTTTTAATCATTTTCTGAGATTGTTTTAAATTGAAGTTATTCTTCACACAAATACGTTTTCAGTTTTTATAATAAATCAGAGCAGATATCATCTAATCTAATTTCATTTTAATCGGACTCAACCACAAATCATCACTTGGGGAATCTGAAATAAGTTTTCCCCTCAATGATTCCTCTGAGGCCCCGTAGATCCCTGGAAGTGCTCCTCTTCGGTCACTTCACTGCTTTCATTAAATTTTTATCTGTTCCCCTCTCCAGCTGATTCGGAGAAATCTCTTTCTCCCCTGGTGGACGAGACTCAGCCCTTCACCGTTCCATTCCGGCCGTACGCCTGGAGCAGCAGCTATCCCAGGCCGGAGCTGAGGCCGCTGGTGCAGCCAAGCCTCCATACGGGAATGGAGGTAGAAAGAGGCCCGGCTGCGATGGGCTTCTACGGAGACAGAAGCACCCATCCTGCCCTGTATGCAGACCGAGCTCTGGGAGAGGAGACCTATGGTAACTACAGGAGGCACGCTGCTGCTCTGCTGTTTCCTGAGGCAGGCATGCACGGAAAAACCCACGACGTGAACGCGCAGTCTGATCTGCTGTGCTCTAGCCTCATCCTCAATGGGGCTTACAAGTGCGTCAAGTGCAGTAAGGTGAGGACAGAGAGCAACGAAGAGAGGTGTGATTTCATATAGTCCAGTCTAATATATGTCTTCTATAAAATGCATGCATGTTTGTAAGAAAACACCAATAATTTAAAAACTTGGGATAATTTGATTTCCGCTCAACTTGGCCCCAAGCAAAGACTCACTGCAGCTGCTGTTTTTTGGCTGACCTCTGACCTCTCTATAGGTGGAACAAAACACAAACAATTGACTCTCCAGTTACACAGAATCGAATTTGGGTTTTTTTTTTTCTTTGATGGTTTATTGCAAATTTTAAAAAGTTCTTATCGTCAATTCATTGTTGTTCTCAGGTGTTTTCCACTCCCCACGGTTTAGAAGTGCACGTCCGCAGATCACACAGCGGCACCCGGCCATTTGCGTGCGAAATCTGCGGCAAAACTTTCGGACACGCAGTGAGCCTGGAACAACACAAGGCCGTGCACTCTCAGGTATCTTCACACCTCAAACCACAAGATGCAGTTTGCACCCTTTTCTTTTTTTGGATTCACATTTTACTTTCAACCCGCCTTCCTGTCAAGCGTGGATGCGCTGACTCGAAAATGTGACTAAAACAGGCCTCTGCTCACGTTTCAGGAAAGAAGTTTCGACTGCAAAATATGCGGTAAAAGTTTCAAGCGGTCGTCAACTCTGTCGACTCACCTGCTTATCCACTCCGACACGCGGCCGTACCCATGCCAGTACTGCGGCAAAAGGTTCCATCAGAAGTCGGACATGAAGAAACACACCTTCATCCACACAGGTGAGCGAAGAAAGGGACGAAACTACATTTGTTGTTTTGATTGTTCTGTAACCGAGGTAAAAGATCTGTGCGCAAAATCCAATTTTTAAGCAGCAAAATGAATACCTCTCGTTTATTTTTATTATATATATATATATATTTTTTAAACCCTAAATCAAATGTATTTTTATTTTTTTTTCTCTTTCAGGTGAAAAGCCACACAAATGCCAGGTGTGCGGGAAGGCGTTCAGCCAGAGCTCCAACCTCATTACGCACAGCAGGAAACACACCGGATACAAACCTTTCGGCTGCGACCTCTGCGGCAAAGGTTTCCAGAGAAAGGTGGATTTGAGGAGACACAAGGAGACGCAGCACGGGCTGAAATGAACTGACGCGGCACCATGGAGTCAATCTAATCTGACTTCAGAGCAATCATTTGCTCATTCCTAGGAAGTCGTTTTTAGACATCCGGCATTTTCGACTTTTCCTCCTTCTGCCATCCACCTTGAGGACATTTTTCGGATCAAGATCGACTCTGACTCTCATTTAGCTTGTTAAACGTGCATTGAACCTATATTTAACAACGACAGATGGTGTTTTTTATTTATTTTATAAGGGAAAAAAAACGTTTAACGGGCGACTTTTTGCAGTGCGAAGACGAGCAACACTAACGAGACCAGCCTGCTGCAGAATGTTACATGCTCACAAAACCAGAGATAAGCTGTGGACTTTAAAATACATGACATGTAAGCGCGATAATAATAATAATAACAATAATAATAAAATTGTCTGTGTCTTAAGCCCAAAATATTAGCAGTCACACTTCAATAACAGGATTGGCAGAGCCATAAAGAAACAGATGCAAATCTGCGCTTCTCCAAAAGAACAGACGTAGGATTTTGTTGTCAGCTACAGCGATGCTGGCAAAACAGTTCTTCCACTGTCTGATTTAATAATCGCTTCCATTACCAAGCTGGTATCTTTGGTCTATTTTGCACATTTTCTTGTCAAATTTAATCTTCTATCGTTTACAAATAAATATTACTTCTCTTCAAATATGTATTCCAGTTTCTTGTTGATGTTTTAAAATGATTATTATTATTATCAAAATTTCAATGCAGTTAAAAATATGGATGAGTTAAGTTTTTCCAAACGAAAACAGAGACGGAACGGAAAAAGCGTGCATAAAAATAAAACAGATTACATTAAAGTAAAGGTCGGGTTTCATCACCCAAGTTTAAAAAAATTCCACAGAGC